GATGATTGATTTGAATCCTAGTGAGATCACAGAACGAGAAGCTCCTCTGAGCTCCGGGAAATCATGTTCTACTTTCTGCTGGGTTGGATTCCAGTCTGCAAACCAGACCTGGCACTGTGGGCCTGAGCCTGCCCTGCTCTCACAGCCTGGCAGGGGATGGGAACCAGGTGGACACTGCAGCAAGATCTGCTCTCAGCTGTGTGGTTTGGGGAGGCAGGACCTGTGCCTGGGATGCTGAGTACTTCATCCAGGGTTATCCATCCCCAACCTTCCAGCAGCACTCCATTCACATCAGAAACTGAAGTAAGCTCATTTAATTTTGGTTTATGTGCTTTTGGGGAATGAATACTGGATGGGGCAGGAAGTGGGGGTGCAGCGATGACCACTGCCTGTGCTCAGCTCCCACCACATCAACCACAGCCTTATCTCACCCCTCCATCTCAGGGAGGGAGGTCTCAGTCTATCACACCTCTTTGTGTTTTATTTTCTATCTTCCTTTATAACTTTTCTAAAGCTAAAGCCCCTTTTACACTTCTTCCATTGTACGCTGTCGATGATCACAGGTGACTCTGTTCTGAGTAACACCTTGGCAAGAAAAAAGAAGCAATAAGGTAAGCTTATTCTTGTGGTGTACTTTGGAAATTACCAGATACATCCAGTAGCCTTCTGGCCACCAGAAAAATTATTTGTTCCTCTGGTTCTAGCTGTTGTATTTTTTCCACAATTTATTTGAAATATGCAATTTTTAGAGAGTAACATTTAAGTTTAGGAAAAGCAACTATTATTACAATACATTTGTATTTGCCACCAGGTTCTGGGGGAACTGTAACTTTTCAAGGCTAATGTGTCTGGATTTTTGTAGAGTGGATCCATGCTGACTCAGTAGGAGGTGGATGGGATGTGCCTCCTGCTTCTCTGCAAGCAGGATTGCTCAGATCAGGAGAGAAAACAGGGACGATGCTGTTGCAGATAGCAGAGGGAGGCAGGGAGGGGGCTTTCCCATTCTTTCTGTTGTTTGCTCATGGGAGGTGGTTAAAAGTGCACTCAGGTCCCTCGAGCATTCTGTCCTGCACCCTAAGTTTAGACCCTTTGTGAGGGCAGATAAGAAGCATTTAATTGCAAGTAATAAAAATTAAGACTCCTTGCATGTGAAGTGTATCACATAAAATAGGCTTCAAGACATGCAAGCCCGGTCCTTATGGAAGTTATTAGAACACAGATTGTGCTGCTGCCAAGAACATTAGATCCAGATTTCTTTTTTTTCCATTGCCTTTGAGAGTATTTAGTGCATTGCACTTGAGAAGTTTCAAATTCTGGATGAAGATTCAAATAACTTAGGAAATTGTATATAGAAAATTAGGGTTGGTTCAGGATTGTTTCTGACCAGAATCAGATGGGGTTTCTGTAGGTCTTACATCTTTGGGAAATTAATTCTTTTATATCTTTTACATAAGGTTACAGTCAATGATAACCAGGCTTATAGTCTATGGATTGCTGATGTGCCGTTAGTCCAAACAAATTTTTTAATACTTGCCATTTCTTCCACTGACATTTTTAATATGAGCTTTTAAAATTATTTTCTATTCTGTCCTGTAGTTAGTTCTATTATTGTTATTGAAGGTTATGGTTTCTTTTAATAAGATTACATTTTTTGTCCGCTCACAGCACTTGTGACTCAAGGATGTGGCTAACAGCTCTTTGTATCTTAAGACACAAAAAAAAGAGTTTCAAATATGTCAGCTATGGTAACCAGGTACTGTAGCCTCAGTGCCTGGTTTATTTCTGTGCTCTGATAAAGTCATGGGAAGAATTTACGTGCTGAAGTCATCTGCCTGTGCTTCCTTTGGGTCAAATCCTCTGAGTTAAACTTGTGTGAGTCCTCTCATAACTTCACATTGATGGGTGATATCAGGAATCATCCTAAATTATATGTTTTCTTTTTGCTATAGAAGCATTTGCTCTAAGTATAGGCTTCATCAGAGTATTTTAAAAGCTTTGCCCAGGTTTGGTTGGTTTATCCTTATACATACTCTGAGACCTGAAAAAACATCAGGGCACTGGTGTAGAATTTTTATGCTTGTTTGTAAGCTTTACTTGGTTACTTCATATTGTAAAACATGAGGAATAACTGAGCAAGGCTTTGACCTTGAGGACTTTATGTGAGAGAGCAACATATGTGTGCAGGAAACATGCAAGATAAATGCATTCATAAAGTAGTGGGGAAAATGCAGCTGCCGCCTATCCAGTTTGAAATTCGGATTTTAATTCTAATCTGGTTTCCTTTCCTGCATTTCCTTGATGCAAGGGCTGCAAGTAGATGTATGGAAAAATAAACATTTATACAGGAGGAGTGACCTGAATTTAAGAGTGGGCATAGTACAGTGTGAGTAGGTGAGTAGGGGTTTTTCCCTCTCTCTTTATGGACTTCAAAAACCAAACATGAGTCATTCTGGGAGTGCTACAGGACTTTCTGATCAGGTCAGTGGAATACTAAGCCCAAATGCCATGCTTGGGATTTTAAAAGTTAAACTGAATTACATTAAGGTTAAACCTTGGAGGAGCTGCTTGAGTAGGGAGGGGCTCAGTGGGAAAACCCAACTGTATCTCAGCCAACCTGACCACAGGTAGTAATAAAAAGATGTCCTCTGGCAAGAGCTCCTAAAAATCATAGACTTCTGCAGAATAAATACCTTCCTGATGATAATGTGACTTTTCTGTTTACCATCCCAGTTCAAACACTGACTGGTGCAATATCTCTTATTCTGTGGGGTTTTGTGAAACCCTTAGGGTGTGTTTGAACAAGGCCAGCTCCAGGAAATATTGTGGGCTGACTTGTTATTTTTCATGGGGTTGGACAGGACCACTTTGGTCATCTCTAGGGTTCATGAAACTGAACAAAGTTCTGTTCAATTTCTTTCTGTTTTTAAACGGAGCTCTGCTTTGAAATGGTTGGGCAGAGAAAGGAGCTGCATGACCTCGAGGAAAACCCCAGGGCAAAGGTGAGATCACACATACATCACATTAAACAGCGACTTTGAGAAAGAAACACACTAGGTTTAAAACAAACCACTATTAAACTGGGTATCTTCTAATATTTTATGAGGTCCTCTGGCAGTTGAGGCAAGGCTAAATATATGAGCAAATTCATGTATTACTCAGCAGCTGCTCTGAGAGGAAGGCCAGGAGTTGGTTGCATTTACTGTATGTGCTGTGAGGAATTTTAAGACAGCAATTCAGCAGATTTGTTTCTTTGTGTAGTCCCATCCTTTCTCACACAACCACAGAAACTCATCCTTCATGTGGCTGTGTGAATATGGCCCTACAGAATCTTGCTACAATTCAGATCTTGTTGGGATATCAGATGTTTTCGTAGACTTTGAGCTTTATAATTTTGTTTCAGTTTTCAAGGTTGTCTATGATGTGGGGGTTTCCAGAGTGCTTATCTTGCCTAGTATGCAAAAAGATGCAGAGAGCTTCAGCAAGACCTATATGACCCCATCACCACTGCTGTTTTAACCTGGAGATGCCAGATGGTTCAGGGCTTGCTGAGCATGACATAAAACTCCTTATGTTGGGACTGAAGCGTGACAATAGAACAGATATTTTTCTCCACATGCTTTATAAATGCTGTCTCTCTTCCTTCCTCTTACCACTATTTCATCAGCTGCAAAAATTAGTTCTGATGGTCCAGTCTAGACTGGGTATTGGTTAGTGATCCAGACATGATGGGAAATGGTGCAAACCTTCTGGCTTGTGTGTATGAATTACAAGGTTTACATCTGTGATGAATTGTACTGCCATGACAAGGAATTTCCATGGTTGTTAGTGACTTTAATCAGTTGGGTCCTGACCATTCCTTGTCCAAAGCTCACCAACCTTAGGTAGGCTGTGAGTGGGAGGGTTGAAATATGTTCAGTGTTCTAAGCACCAAGGTAAGTTTCACCTAGCACACAAATATCTGTCATGTTTCAGAGTTAGAAAACCAATTAACGACTCCATTATGTTTTATCACAGTAGTTTCAAATTTAGGTCCAGCTTTTTCTGTACTTAGAAGAGCTATGGATTTTTAACTGACATTGGCTAGATTTGTAATTATACAAGCCAATTGTTTTTTGGCTCAATTTTATGGCAAATTGTAGCTCTATCTGTACTTAGAGAAGTCTGGGTTCCCCCCTTTTTTCTAGCTGTGAGGACACACCCCTTTAAATCTGTGGTGTCTCTGAATCTCATGGGAACAGTTGTCAGCAACCCTTGGGAAACCCATCATCCACGACCTTTTCTATCTGTTACCTTGGTGTTGTTAGTGCAGACTAGGAGTGCTGGTATTGCCATGACTAGAACTGGCCTTAACCACTACCTTGAGGGAGTCTGCATTTTTAAAAACTTCTTCCCATTTAAGTCTCTACCTAAGACTTGTTCAAAAATGCAGATATATAGTAGAAAAAACCCCACAGATATATAACAGAAAAACAGCATTGGCATCCAGTTTATACTGACCTACACAGAGCTGTGTGAGATCTTGTGCAAGGAATATTATACCTAGTATCTTTTTAAGGCATGATATTCAGCATCAGTTTGGATCTAGTCATAACCTGTACAATTCTGTATTGTAAAAAAGTGAAAAATTCAAAGAAAAGTCTGTTTAGTGCACTGAGAGAAGACTCTGCAGCCACAGTCACACATGGAGCATCAAGGTTTATTAGGTTAGGCTCATGTTAAAGCTCATTGTAAAGCAGTGGAAACTAGAAGCATGAATTTTGTGCTCAGGTAAAAGAACATGGAATGGTGGCTGTTGGGTCTCTTCAACCCTCCTGGGGGTTCTATTTCCTGGTCTGTGAGTCAGTGTTTGGTTTTCTGTTCCTTTTTTCCCTCACATGTGGTATAAGGCTATGGTGTATCCTTATACCATAAAACTCTAGTGACATAACACACTTCACATTTGATAACAAAATAAACGATGACACTTGGTCATGCTTGTTATATGAAGTTTTAATTGCTGTGTAGAGTTTTAATTTGCCTCCTTGCATTAGTCATCAAAATTTAACATTAATTAGCATCAGAATATTTGCCTTGATTAGTAAAGACTCTACTTTATAACAGCCCTATGTCCCCCTCCCCTTCCCAGCCAGCCCCTCAGTGCCTGGGCAGCTCTTCCCTAGCCCAAGGCTTGGTGGGATTTCCAGGGGTCATGGCAGCTGCATTTACCATCCAGGTTTCTATTAACCGGGTAGAAACTGAACTTGCTTCTCCCAACATTCTTGCAGTTCTGCTTCTGATTGATCCATCTCAGGAATTCTTCCAGACTCGCTTTAAATTCCGAGAAATCAGTATTTGACTTCTTTGAGCAGCTCTTGTTGAATGAAGATTTCTAAGAGGAAAAAGGAGGTATTGATGCATGAGTTACAGATGCTGCACATTCTGTCTCAGATCATTGGGATGGAGGATGTTGTCCTTCACACCCCCAAAACCATTTCACACAATTCGTAGAGATCACTAGTCATTAGCTATTTCTCTGTGACTTTCACAGTACTGCAAACTTTTCTGAGTTGATTTGGGAGGGCAGAGGAGTCATCTGCCAATCAAGAAGGTGAAAAACATTTCTGTCACAATACCAGATCCTGGGGATGTGAGGGACACTGGCTGGGTCCCAGCACACTCCCAGCTGCAGCAGTGTGGGTCACTTCGACATGGCTTATTCTGCAGCTGCAATAGATAGAAAATTGATGCTTATCTGGTTTTCTTCCTAAAGCCTGCTTCTCTATTGCAGGGGATTACCTAAACACAGTTATTGTTGGAAATTTAGCCACTGGTCCATGCAAAACAATTTTCTATCCCCTAACTTCTCTGTCTTTCTCTCTTTTGGATTCAAAATCCAATTCTTTCTCTGTAGTATTTCTGATATGTTTTTTCTGCTATAAATTGTCTTGTTCTTTCTGAAGGACAAGCTGTACAGGTCATTATTAACTGCACCTAATAGATAATCTTCATTACTGCAGGTCTAACTGAGCCATATTGATATGGTCTCCATAAGAATGAATTTGTGTGTGGGAGAGAAAGCTTGATGTCCTTCCCTAGGGCTGCAGCTGGTTCAAAATTAAAAATGAGTGATCATTTCTCTGATAAAAGGTGAGAATGGTAAATCACTTGGTTTTAAAAACCCTGGAAAAATGGATAACAATGAGAAAAAAGTTTGAAATGCAAATGAAAAAATAGTAGAAGCTTACCTTGAAAATACTGCAATTTTTTTCTAGCTCTTCCATATCTTTCTCCACTTTTTTCATGCATGTCCATTTGTGAAGCTTTTTTAGTCCATGAATAAATATTTCAGCATTCTTAGGTGCACAGTCTGGTTTCTAGGAGAAAAATGCAAAATACATAGTGTTCTCGTGCAACAAGAAAGCTTTTCTTTCTTAAAAGAACTGTTAATAAATCACATTGAATACACCATTTTTCTCTGGAAATCTAAACTTCTTTCATTCTTTTTAGAATTTCCTCTTTGCTTCCTTCTTGCCAGAAGTGTTATAAGGACAGTTTTCTTAACTATCATAGCTGGAAACTTTGAAATAAAAAGGGTCCAGTTTCTGTCAGTGGAGGATGTGACCACATTGGGAATTTGATTTGATTCCATCTAAGTCAGAGAGTGATTAATTTTGTCTTTGCTTTGGAAGTAGGACATTTAGGAAGAGCTACTTTAAACATTTTCTTTATATTGCCAGCCCTTTGAAGACGAGACTTTGCAATCACCAGCAGAAATTTCTCTGGAAAAATATCAAAAAGAACTGATAAAAAATGAGTTACGGCGTGATTATCTTTAGGAGCAATTAGAACAGTTAGTAGCTCTAATAATCTTTTAAAAATAGGTCATTGCATCAGTATTTTGGGACACCACTTATATCTGCAACAATTACAACTTGCTTTAAATGTCCTCAGACTTGCTATGCCAGAGGTTACACTCCAAGTACCCTTTGGAGACTTACTGAAAGTAATAGAAGGGAATCAACAGGTTCTTACCTTTACGTAGACCGGTGTGGACAAGTTCACCTGGAAACAATAGAAATTTGTTAGTCACAAACTGGAAATCATCTCAAAAAGCAAATCTGGTGTGAGGGCAGCGGGGAAATTATTTACTTTTATGCGTGCATTTTCACCCTCCAGCAAACAAAGCATTTCATCAACCAGTGGGTATTTAACCTTGTTCAACCAACGAGGCATTTCCTTCTGAGGGAGAAAGTAACTGGACACCCCAGAACTCAATAGTAGCAAGAATACATGAGGATGCATTTTAAAGGTGTTAATTTGGGAGCTTGAGCCCTGATATCTGAAAAGGGTTTTGAATTCAAGCTCTTCTCTCCAGGCAGATAGGAGGCTGGCTTATATAGAGAAGATGGGTAAATGCAGGATGTGGTTGCTATCTTATCTCATTCATAAATCATTCAAATCAGTCAACAACAAGAGCTTAAGAAGTTGAATTATCAGCATATCAGATTTGATAAACTTCTGTGATTAAAGTTCTGGTAAATTTCCTAAAGTCTCTGACTTCATAGCAATGTTTTAATGCAAGAAAAAGTGATGTGTAAAGGCATAAATATCATAAAAAAATAACAATAATAATAGAATTATAGAATGGTTTGGGTTGGAAGGACGTTAAAGCCCATCTTGTTCCAACCTCCTGCCATGGCCAGGGACAGCTTCCACTAGCCCAGGTTGGTCAGAGCCCAATCCAGCCTGAACTTGGACACTTCCAGGATGGGACAGCCACAGCTTGTCTGGACAACCTGTGCCAGGGCCTCACCACCCTCACAGGGAAGAATTTCTTCCTAACATCCAATCTAACCCTACCCTGTCAATTTGAAGCAGTTCTGCTTTGTCCTATCAAGGAAAATATCTGAGAAAACTTGTAGTAACACAGCCATGAAGGGGATTGCTTCCCCTCAGATAAGACTATATCTATATTGCTGTAAATTTTTGCAGTTCAACAATTTCAGCACCTCTGGAGCTAATATCAGCTAAAGATGGAGCCCACAGGACCTAATTAATAATCTACATCCCTGCAGTGTGATCTGGGGGGGCACAGACATGTATAGCAGCCTTGCAAATCTGACTGCTTTTCTAGAGCACATATCATCTCTTTGACCTGAAAAGAAAACAATTGGCTGTTTGTTCATTGTGAGAGCTGCATCTTACCCTGGCATAATTAATTTGTATGATAATGCTGGGCAAATCTGCAGTCTCAGGTGGCAATTACAGCTTCTCCTTCTCATGGGACAGGGAATGTTTGCTTCTTCATTAATGGTATTTGGGCCTTTATGTAACACTTTATGTAACACTTTATGTAACACTTCATGTAATTTACATGGGGACAAGAGGGGCTGAAGGACAGTGCCACATTGTCAGGGGTCCTTTGGGGTGGGACCCCAGTGTCCCACAGGGCTCCCCCAGCTTTCAGAGTAACTGCAGCTCTCCCAGCACAGTCAGCTGAGAGCAGAGTGAACACATGAGGCAGTTCGCTTCCAAACGTGAAGGCAATGCAGCTCTAAATACAAAAAAGAGTAATTTGTTCTATGCTAGGTAGCAATTAATGTTACAGCCAATCAAAGAGCAGTCATCAAGGGAGCTCTGAGTGTGAAGTTATTTCTGGCCACCGGGGAAAGGGAAATCACTCATCATCAGCATTGGTGCCAACCATGCCTGGCAGTGCAGTGGGAGGTTTTGTAACCTTCCCCAGGACAGCTGGGCTGCCTCACCTTGTTCTGTGCTCAGGAGCAGCCCTGGCTCCAGCAGAGAGCTGGGAGGAACTCCTTGTTCAGTGCCAGAAGCAACGTGTTTGGCAAGTGCTCTTTGGGAAGGGTGAGGGAAGAGCCAAGCTCCCAGCCAGAGCACCAAGCTTTGCCAATGTCCCTGTCAGCCTGGGCCAGCTGGTGTTAGGGTCTCTCCTAAATATTTCCTGTATAGGCCAGTTTCTATTCTAAGTCTGTATTTGATTTTTAGATATGTAATTTCGTAGAAAATGTCTGACAAAGCACAGAGTTTGTTGAAGGGTTTTTCCAGACTTGATAAAGGGAATTTTGTGTTGAGTCAGGGTTATGTTTCCTCCTGGATAGTCTTCCAGGAGACTATAAATTATAATTATAAATAATTATAATAATAACATTACTACTAATAATATGAATATGAATATTTGAGACTGGATGATGTTCTAAATTCTTTGTCTGAGTTTGTTTTGGTTTGCCCCTACTATAAAAATTAATCCACGTTAAGCATGGGCATGTTATTCACTGTTTATTTACCTGCTTTGCAAACTGGAGAAGTTATTTACATTGCTATGTGAAAGGTTCTTGTAGCAAAAAGCACATGGGAAATGGTTGTCATGGATGTACTTTCCAGCACTGCTTTGATTCAGCTCTCTGATGAGAAGCCTGAATCCCTCTCTCAAAGGGCAACATTTCAGTATCAAGCTGCTCATGGTTTGTTGCTGTCCAGGCCCCCTCATTTCCCAACCAGGCTGTTGCAAGACCAAGTAGCTTTGGGCATGCATCTCTTTTCAACTGACACCCTGAGGTAGAGCAGATTAAAATGAGTTACCAAGATGAAAGTTCAATTGTGCTGAACTGGCACACCAAAAGATGCAAAACATGTAAATAGTTAACTAAAATGCCTTTGCACTTTCTCCAATGTGAGTTTCAGCATCTGTTGGTAAAACAAGGAAGCCCATTCTGCTCCTCACATCTGGAGGTGGGAGAAATCAGGGAAGGACAGTCTCCTTTACCTTCTCCCACTTCTGTCTGGATCATTTGCTCCAGGGGAGGCTGTGGGTGAGAGGTTCAACCACCACCTTAGTATGTACAAGGATTTAATAACCAGACCCCCAGATACAAAGCCCTATGTATGTTCACTTAAGCCATTAGGTAAATACTGACTCCTTCTAAACCCATTTATCAAATTATTTTGGTACCATATACCTTTTGGAACAGTATCACTCCTTTTGATAAATGCCTAACTGGAAGACATACTCTGACTTTGTGTCAAATAGCTTTGAAGCTGCTGGAGAGAAGCAGCAAGATGTTATCAATAGGCTCCTGCTCAGAGACAGCTCCCTGGGCATGGGATGAATCTTTTGGTGATGCTGCAGGGGCTGGGTGTCAGTGCCCAGCCCTCATGCCTGCACTGACTCCTGCTCAAAGCCAGCCTTCTCTTAGAATCTGTGGGGACTGACAGAGTTGTTTTCCTTTCAACTCTTTCTATACGAGAGGTGCTGGACTTTATTAAACCCTATTGATCTAGAGATTTTTATAAAAACATGTTTTATACCAAAAATACTCTAAACAGGAGTGCTCATATTTTTTTACCGGCTGAAGAGCTTCAAGGCTGTTGGCACAGGGAGTTTTGAGAAGCTGGGATAAACAAGCAGAACACCAAATTTCTCAAAGTGGTGAAAAATATCTGACGTTAAAGTCTGACAGCTGCACACCTAGGGGATGCCTTATCAGTAAGTTTGGGAACTGAGGCACGCAAGCCCTTTTTCCAGCTCGTTCAGAAAACAGCTCATCTGAACTCTTCCTTCACCTTTCTGTGACACTTCTGAGCTCTTTAGAGTAATACTGAGAAAAGATTATTAAAAGCCCGAGCGAGCAGCTCCCAGGCAGCGCTTGTTTTCATGGCTCTGCTGCGGCGGAGAACGGGCCAGGGCTGCCACCTAGAGAGCGGCACCGGCACACGCGGCCCGGGGAGAGCTCCTGGGGAGAAACCTCTGGGGAGAAACCCTGCCCGCCCTCTGGGGAGAAACCCTGTCAGGGCTCTGGGGAGAGCTCCTGGGGAGAAATCCTGCCCGGCCTCTGGGGAGAACCTCTGGGGAGAAACCCTGCCCGGCCTCTGGGGAGAAAACTCTGGGCAGAAACCCTGCCCGGGCTCTGGGGAGAAAACTGGGGAGAAACCCTGCCAGGGCTCTGGGGAGAAACCTCTGGGGACAAACCCTGCCCGGCCTCTGGGGAGAAAACTGGGGAAAAACCCTGCCAGGGCTCTGGGGAGAAACCCTGCCAGGCCTCTGGGGAGAAAACTGGGGAAAAACCCTGCCAGGGCTCTGGGGAGAAAACTCTGGGGAGAAACCCTGCCAGGGCTCTGGGGAGAAAACTGGGGACAAACCCCTGCCCAGTCTCTGTAGCCACATTTCTCTTCACAGAGAAAAGCAAGGCACAACTTCCCGAGGATACTCTGGGATTCTTATTCTCTGAACCTCAGAGAAAGAGAACACAATTCTGATCTCATTTGCTGCTCCTGTGTTGTTCACAAGTGGAATGCATTGTGGAAGGTTGTTCACCTGCAGGGAATTGGTGGTTGGATTCTGGTGTGAGTGTTGTGATTCACTGGCCAGTTGGATCCAGGTGTGTGTGCGTTGGGACTGTGGGCTGACAGTCATGAGGGCAGTTGAGTGGAGCTGAGTGCTTGGCAGGTTCCGTTTAGATGTAATGTAATATAATATAGAATAATATAGTATGATCAAGTAGTTAATTAGCCTTCTGATAAGATGGAGTCCTCCTCATCATTCCTCATGGACATCAGGTGAAAATATCACTGGTAAACCTTGGCACAGCCCTCTGAGGGCTGGCCTACTCTGCCACTTATCCCAGCCTGAGGGGTTGCCTGGGGGAGATGAATAATAGTGGTAATAATTGTATTTGTATTCGGGCAAATGATTGCTCTGGGAGTATGTGTGTCTGCTGTTCTCCAGGCTGTTCTAAGGGAAACATTATTGTAGGATCATGGAATCACTGAATAGTTTCAGTTGGAAGTGACCTTAAAGCTGATTTACTCCCAGTTTCCTGCCATGGGCAGGGACACCTTCCACTATGCCAGGTTGCTCCAAGCCCCATCCAACCTGACCCTGGGCACTCTCAGGGATGGGGCACCTCCAGCTTCTCAGGGCAGCTTTCTGCAGTGTCTCACCATTTTTTGATCTTCCCTCCCCACCATGAGCAATGGTCCACAGCATTTCCCAGTAGTCCTGGCCCATTGCTTTATCTCCCCCTTAGAAGATTTATGCTAAAAAATGTAAAACTTCCTTTAGAAGCAAATTTTCCTCTCTCATTCAACTGGATCATGGCCCCTTCCCTCCTTAGAAGATTAAATATTCTTCTATTTTGCACCCAGTCCCAAAGGAGAAAGCAGCTTTGCATGCTGGGGGTGATGGGACTAGAATGTTCCCTCGGGTTCCTCGTGAGTCCTGTCATTACAGGAGCTACAAGCTCCATCCCAAAGCACTGACATACCAGGGTCACCTTCCTCCCCCCTCCTCACAGGGTGAGCTGCTTTGACCTAAAGCCACTAAAAATGTCAAACCTTTATTTTC